GAGCTAAAACCCTTGATAGTCTCACAGAACTAGAATCTGAGGTATCTCAACTGAATATTGTTAATAATCATCTGGAAGAGGAAATTAAACATCATCAGAAGATAATTGAAGATCAAAGACAGGGCAAAATGCACCTACTTCAGTCTTTACAGGAGAAGAAGAAGGAAATGAATGAAGTTAAATACCAATATGAGCAGATGAATGCTGCTCATACCAGGTTATTTTTAGAAAAAGATGAGGAAATTAAGAATTGGCAGAAAATCATTGAACAAATAAAAGTCCAGTTGCCTGGAGACAGACATAACACTCAAACAGAGAATTGTGATATTTTTCAAGAAGCAAAAGTTAAAGAAAGTCTTAATATAGAAAATGGAGGTGAAAAACACAACCTATTGAAATCTGAAAATGAGGAATCAAAGAACGAGAACTTGAGATTAAACTTCTAAATGAAAAGAATATATCTTTAACCAAACAGATTCATCAGCTGTCCAAAGATGAAGTTGGTAAACTCACTCAAATTATCCAGCAGAAAGATGTGGAGATACAAGCTCTTCAAGCTAGAATGTCTCCAGTTTCATACACCCAGGATGTCGCTTACCTTCAGCAGCAACTGCAGACCTTCACTATGGAAAGAGAACACGTATTAGCCATTTTGAATGAGAAGGCGAAGGAAAACCGCCATTTAAAATCAGAACATCACAAGATGAAGGACCTGGTTGCTGTGAAAGAAGCAGCCCTCATCCAGCTTCAAGAAGAAAATAGAAAATTGTCCACCCGATTCGTAAGTAGGGATCAAGATATGTTTAGAGAAACTCTGCAGAATTTATCTTGTATATTTAGAGAAAAAGACACTGAAATAGATGCGCTAAGTCAGAAATGTCAGACTTGACTGGAAGTTTTTCAAACGTTCGGCACTGGTAATGAGAGGGGAGGTGTTAATAGCCATCAGTTGGAGGAGCTCCTAGAGGAACATGATCAATTAAAACAGCAAGTTAAAAAAAATAGAGGAGTGGAAACAACAGTTAATGACAACAGTTCAAAATATGCATCATGAATCAGCCCAACATCAGGATGAGCTTCTTCAACTTGAAGCCCAAGTTTTGGTTGACACTGAAAATAGTTTTAAATTAGAAGCAGACTACACCGGCCTCATCCAAAGCTATGAGCTGAATGAAACCAAATTAGGCCAGGTTCAGCAGTGCACAGGGCAGCTTTGCAATGCCAAATCCCTTCCTGTAGAAAAACTTGATAGTACTTCACCCCAGCTCTTATCTGCTTCATTACTTAGCTCCCAGTCAGCAGAAGTCGAAGAGCTGAGACAATCACTGCAAGAAAAAGAGGCTACAATTAAGACTTTTCAAGAAAACAACCACAGGTTGTCTGATTCAATTGCTGCTTTG